CTATTGGCATGCGAAGTTTTTACCGACGAATGAGAAGTTTTGGCTTGTTTTCATACCGGCCACACTGGGTTCCTCTCTTTAACTCGAGAACACCGACGTAATCGCCTTGAGTGGTGCAGACAACGGTCACTCTGGGATCAGGAATGGAACAGTATTGTCTTTAGTGACGAGTCTCGATTTTGTTTAGGCATGCACGATGGTCGTGCCAGGGTTAGAAGGCGACGTGGTGAAAGGAGGAATCCACAGTTTTTTGTTGAAAGACATGTTCATCACACTGTTGGAGTTATGGTTTGGGGTGCTATAGCTTATGGTTCCAGGTCACCTTTAATCTTTATCAGAGGTAACATGAACGCGCAGCGTTATATCCACGAAGTTCTAGAACCCCATCTTTTACTCTATCTTGACACCCTAGCAGATCCAACTTTCCAACAAGATAATGCCCGACCACATGTTGCAAGAGTCACAATAGACTTCTTTCAACATAATGATGTCACATTGTTACCATGGCCACCAAGATCTCCCGACTTATCCCCAATTGAGCACGTGAGGGATATGATGGGTAGGAGATTGCTCAATTTGCAACGTCCTCCTCAGACTCTAGAAGCACTTCGAGAAGAGTTGGTGGTTGCCTGGAATGAGATACCACAGGAGGACATTGACCACCTGATCAGAAGCATGCCTAGGCGCGTTGGAGAATGCGTAGCACATCAGGGTGCATCCACATATTATTAAAGGTCAAAGGGCTTTAAAGCAGTGCAATCATTTTGAAATTTTTATCATTTACTTATTATGCTTCATTAAGTACTTAATACAAAATTTTATTAAAATAAAACCATTTAAACTGGGTGTTCGGATTTATATGTCACTTAGTATATGAAACCTGAGTTATGAAGACCTTATTGATGGTAATAACAATAATAAATCATAGCAGATGTTCAAAATGTTGTCGTTTATTTTTTAAGAGAAGCCTGATTATTCTCTGTATGTTGTTCATAGCAGGATTCGCTTCCTTTCTTCCCAGTCTTCCAAATTCTGCTGCTATGTGCAATTGTTGGTCTGGTCTGCTATGCGAAACAAATGAAATCTAATAATGTCAAGGCCTACCTAGGTATTTTTGATTTTCTATAATAACCAAGTTTTGGCAATGTTAATGTATGGCATTTTACATTTTTTAAATAAGAGGTAAAAACGCTATTCATCTCTACAAAAATTCAATATGTCGTCCATAAAAAAAACTAAGTTGTTGCTATAGGACAAGAGACCAAACGTCATATAGAAATTCTAATTTTGCCACCTTGTCGAGAAGAAAGAGTGGAGTTATTAATGTGAAATTTATTTTGGACTCCTACTATAAATAAAGACAGGAAGCAATCAATTTGGAAAAATATGTTTTTTTCGTCTCTCTCCGGAAGTACTTTGAATTTCGAAACTTTTCTATGTGGCATTTTCCAAATACGCAACTTTGTCATAATTTAAACTTCTTCTTTTTCTTACGTATTTCGGGATCCCAACATTAGGTACGAACATAGTTAGTGTATGACCATGACCAGTTCATTAATCTAATTTCTAATATATGAAACAAATGGTAATTTCCAGGTTTCGTTAGGTAATACTGCTTTTCCATATAATTATAGTTTTACAATAGTGATGCATGATATATCCACATGTGTGAAAATCCAACATGGCGCCCATGAAAAGAATAAGTTGATGATTGAGCACACGGGACTAAACGTCATATTGAAGTGTCAACGTTAAAAGAAAATGGCAAAAATAAAAAAGAGGAGAATAATCTCGATACCCTAGGGTTTGTCCATAGGAGCAGTCGTATCGGCCAGTTCTACACGTGCAAAGTACGATACGCTTAGGTTGGGAGGCTGAAGTCAGGCAGGTGTGTCTGGCAGGCAGCGGTAGAGGAGAGGTAGATTGCCAATGGTCCGATGGTACGAAGGGGTCTCGAGACGATCCGCTAAAGAAGATTCATCGATCAGTCGGAGAGCCCTTCACTGGACAGCATCGAGCATAAATGATGTAGCCCTAAACAAATAGCCTAGCTTTTCCCCAGCAGCTGCAGCTATTGTTCGTGCCATATCAAATCCTCGTTGATCAGGACTCTGACCAGCTGAAATGAACGGCTCTTTTGTGGAACTCGATCTTCCATCGAACCGAATGAGCGGTAGGACGCTTCTTGTTCGTCAAGGTACAGTACTGTGTTTTAGAATCAATTTTAATAATATATAATAATATGTTCTAATAACTCAATTTTCTTACAGTGAACCCTGGTTTTCCAATTAGCGGTTTCCAAACAACGTTGAATGTCTCTTTTGGTATGTTGAAAATTTGTCTAATGTAGAGCCCAAAGTCAGTTGCTGGAGTACCAGCTAGAAAAATAAGCTCGATATCTGGCCACGTTGGATGTTCTGGGTCTGTTAGATTCGTCTTTACGTATGTCAGCGCTTCGACATTACCTGAAGTCAAAAGCAAGGCTTTAATATTGACAAAAATCCTGAACTACTATTTATAGCTGTTGAGAGTGGATAATTTAAGTCAGTTCTCTAGAGGATAATCCTGTGCTTGAATGAAAATACATGAATAGAAATGTTAGTCAAATAGATGCACTCAATACTTCCCACGCAACCTACTGAAAATCTTAGGTATATGAAAAACCTAATCGTCCTTAGTAACAGGCAAAATATGAGAAATACCTGATTGGAGTAACCAGACAGCTAAGAAAAGCAACAAAAGAGAAAATAGGACTTTTCTGCATGATTCCTTTAAAGTATTGTTCGAGAAGTTTGAACACGTTTCGAGCAAAATGCTTTTTCGTTGAAGACTTCGCCGCTAAGGTCGGTGTAAATGGTGTCAGGTTGTGCTTTCATTTTAAAGATGCGAAAGTATTATTAGACAATAAAATCAAATTCTCTTAGCTATGAAGCCCTACCGATTCACATTTATATACTAAGTGACATATATATCCGAACACCCAGTTTAAATGGATTTATTTTAATAAAATTTTGTATAAGTACTTAATGAAGCATAATAAGTAAATGATAAAAATTTCAAAATGATTGCACTGCTTTAAAGCCCTTTGACCTTTAATAATGTGTGGATGCACCCTGATGTGCTACGCATTCTCCAATGCGCCTAGGCGTGCTTCTAATCAGGTGGTCAATGTCCTCCTGTGGTATCTCATTCCAGGCAACCACCAACTCCTCTCGAAGTGCTTCTAGAGTCTGAGGAGGACATTGCAAATTGAGCAATCTCCTACCCATCATATCCCTCACGTGTTCAATTGGGGATAAGTCGGGAGATCTTGATGGCCATAGTAACAATGTGACATCATTATGTTGAAAGAAGTCTATTGTGACTCTTGCAACATGTGGTCGGGCATTATCTTGTTGGAAAGTTGGATCTGCCAGGGTGTCAAGATAGGGTAAAAGATGGGGTTCTAGAACTTCGTAGGTATAACGCTGCGCGTTCATGTTACCTCTGATGAAGATTAAAGGTGACCTGGAACCATAAGCTATAGCACCCCAAACCATAACTCCAACAGTGTGATGAATATGTCTTTCAACAAAAAACTGTGGATTCCTCCTTTCACCACGTCGCCTTCTAACCCTGGCATGACCATCGTGCATGCCTAAACAAAATCGAGACTCGTCACTAAAGACAATACTGTTCCATTCCTGATCCCAGAGTGACCGTTGTCTGCACCACTCAAGGCGATTACGTCGGTGTTCTCGAGTTAAAGGGAGGACCCAGTGTGGCCGGTATGAATACAAGCCAAAACTTCTCATTCGTCGGTAAACACTTCGCATGCCAATAGGTCTTCCGTGTTCTGCAAACCATTCATTTGCAATGGACCTGGTAGTGGAGAAACGGTCCCTTAAGGCCAATAATCTTAGGCGGCGATCTTTACGGTCTGTTGTTCTACGGCGGCGTCCAGTGCCCCTTGCTCTTTGCGCACGGCATTCTCGAAGCCATGCCTGACAACACCTAACCACAGTGTCTACACTTCTTTGCACTCTAACTGCAATTGCCCGAAAAGAAAGTCCAGCTTCACAAAGTCCCACTATACGGCCCCTATCAAACTCACTAAGTTGACGAAATCGTACAGGTCTCCGTACTCTAGGCATCGTAACCGATCGTAAAGGATGTCAAGAACCAAAAATCGCCAACGTTGATTCTTTACTGCGGCTGAAATATTCATTTTTAGAGCCTTAGTGAATTAAAAAAAAGCAGTATAAAAACCGGAATGTCCAACTGATAAGGCTGAAAATTTTTTCACTTGTTATTTAGAGTAAGATAAGTACATTCACCAACTTTTATTAAAATAAAACCATTTAAACTGGGTGTTCGGATTTATACAGGGTGACTTCGAAGTTGAGTCATTTATTTTAACAGTGAGTAGTTCTGATCAAAAGAAATGTTTTTTCCTTTACCATTTTTCAGGTAAAATTAAAGTAACAAAGTTATAGCCCTTTGGAAGTTTGAGTACCGCCATGTCTCAATAATAATATTATGTGCTCGTGTTTGGCGACAACGGATATAATCCGCCTTATCGGTTCATCGCATCGGAAACAAAAAAGCGAAAGAATTTGGAACGATGTTTTTACAATTATTTCATTCAGTTGTATACAGTCAGTGTCAGTCGGTAGTGAATAGTGGTGTAACTGTTGCGTGGCTCAAACGAAATAAAAAATGGCACATGTTTATGCGGATCGGTTTCCCAATCGAGTACAACCAACCTCTCGTGCCTTTGTTAATGTAGTACAACGGGTTCGTGAATCAGGTGACTTAAGACCTCACATATGGACGGCATGCCGGTGCTCCAAGACCTCACGATCAAATACAGGTCCGCACTGAAATACTTGTCGGGAGGATACTTTATAAAACAAGGTAAAATTTTTTTTTATTTTTTTTTTATTTTTACACACATATTTTGGTTTATCTTCCTTCTACAATCATTATCTGAAAATTAATGACTTAACTTCAAAGTCACTTAGTATACATACGCCAAACTGACTTCTACCATTATAGTCCACGTATTTATGTCCAGCCTCTATCGCACTTCCAACCCAAGCCTCCACGGACTTAGTTCTGAAGTTTGAATCGCTTACTTTCATGTATCCACCATGGCCATGATACTCGTTGTCTTTTATAGCAATCAAGGCGTCTTCAGCTTTGATGAAGTATGGAAGCACGCCTTCGTACGACCATCCCGGATTACCCATCTCTTCCCACTTCTCGTAGTCAATCTTATTACCTCTCGTGTATATCATGAAGTTGACAATTGAGCTACCACCTAGACCTTTACCCTTAGCATATTTCATTCTGTGGTCGATACAGCCTGAAATAACAGCATTAATATGTAATAAGAGATCCTGCAATGTATATACAAAGTTCAAAACTGTATGTCCTTTTATTTCTGCAAGTATCCTGATAAACTGCTACGGAACACTTTCAATACTGCTTCGTGAAATACCGCGCTAATTATTAGGTAATCATCATAAAAACGGAAAGTGATATCGATGGGTTAGTTCTAATGCGACGTATCCTACAAAATGCCGAAATCGAGATTTTGATGGATCTCAAATGAACAAAAGTATTTCTATCATGTGACAATTTGTCGTAGCCAACCTGCTAATAAAAACACCATTTTTGCCCATATTCTAATATGTCGTATCTAACTCAACTGTTATTTTCGGTTCCAATAAGGTGTATCCCTCAGCATCCACTTGCTCATTGAACCTGATTATGTTGGTTGCTCTCTTTATTTGATCAAATAATGTTATCTATATTTTTTTTACAATAAAGCGTTACGCCATTGAAGAAATCTTATCAGAAATGTGTACTTCGATTCGAAAGCGTCATTTGTTTATTGCTCGGAAGTTTGATTAAAAAGTAAAGATTGGTTACAGCCTATTGGATCTTGTAACTGTTCTGTTGGTATAAGTTATGGTATCCTGATGCCATTACCTTAAAGAATTAACACCATCCAAATCCCTACGAGTATAACACCGTCCCATACTCGAGAGACATGATGTGAAGATGCTTGCATTTTTACCGGACACTACTGATTTCTGGAAAATTCGTAAGTCTAATCCTAGAATATAAAAAGGGTCTTTGACTACTCTCTGTACTCGTTTCGTTACTTGTTCTTCTGTTCTCAACTGTTGCTGGTGCCTCAATAAAAGCTACTCTACAAAAGTTACTGAAGTATTTCTCTAACATCAGAAATAGGAACGCGAGTGATAATTCCTTAGTACAATCAATCACCCACGATCCATACGTATTTAATTTATACGATAAATTAGAATTAATGTACAATAATCCCTATGCTAGTGGGTCTTCTAAATGTTTATTTCTGATGTTCTTTAATAGTTAAGTCGGAGTTTTGTCACCCATACTACCATACAGGGTACTCATGGCTTCACTCTGTCTTCCACTGACACATAGGATGCGTTAATTACACTGAGCTGCTGGACTTGAGAGCTACCTTAAATACGCTTCAGCAGGCTGTATTCATTGTGAGTGATTATCAGTTTATTGAAATGACATTCTAAAACATACTCAAGGGTTGTGTTTGGGTCGCAGGATCGAACGTTACCGAACTATTCCAAAGAGGTTGGCTTCATCATTAAAAACGTCTGTGAGTTGGCTCCGAGGAAGCGGTTCGGTACTGCGACATGAGAATAATTCAGATAGATTCACTTGGCGCATTCTATAAAGTGACATCTAGCAAATGAGCTACAGCATTATTCTAAATCAACAGAGCGAGTATGAAGGAGAGTCTGCTTTGAACAATCTAGCCAAACCGATTATGTTGTGGTCAGATAGTTGTGGATACCAAAACAAAAACAGCATATTTCTTAATGACTTGTCTCTATTGGCCACATGGTATAATATACTGATTGAGCAGAGGTGTCTGGAGAAGGGTCACATTCAGATGCGGTATGACTCGACTCATTGTCTCATTGAAAGGTGCCTTAGAGGGAAAGACATACATTTGCCTACCGATTACATAAAACTTGTTAGAGATGCGATCATTTCCTTTGGACGTAGAGTACCCAAGCCATTCATATTTTCTGAATCTCGAAGTACACCTGTAAAAAGTACAATCCCATATGTCCAGAAAATAAGAAAAACTAGTTACAGGTGAACGATCTGATATGCCTAAGATATGATAGCACTGGCCAAATCTACTACAAATCGGAAATCAACGATCCTTATGAAGTCTTACCTCAACGCCAAAAGCAAATTTATATAGCCTATGAGCCCAAACAGCTCTACGAGACAAGGCTTAAGATAACAAAAAATAAATGCAACGATTCAAAAAAGTAATGTCTGAAGATGTAGGCTTTAACGATGTACTCCAATATGAAGGAAGTCTGAAAGAGATAGAATAAACTAGTCAAACAACGTCGAAGGAGAACCAGAAAAGTCGTCGGCGGGCAATGATAAACTAAAAATTGAAGCTATAGTAGCTAAGAGGTAGGAAAAAATTGTTACTTGACTCACTAACAAAAGAAAATTTAAAAGTGTGCTAACAGTTCTACAATCTCGAGGAAAGTAGATGAAGTGAGTGTATCCATAATTGATAAAAAGTCAGGGAAACCTAATTTGGAAGATGACAGTATTCAGAAAAACGCAAAAGACAATAAGAGGTATTACATTTGGATTGTATTATTATTTTTTATGAAAAATCTATTCATTTCAGAAAAAAATCTATTCATTTCAGAAAAACAAAGAAGTGCAATAATGATACGAATAAGTCCAAAAACAAGAAACAAAATTGGCTCATCCAGGATTATTCTACTCTGTTGCTTGTTACCGAGCTTATGTCTACTATAAGAAGATTTGTTCTTATTTTTTATTACAAGATAACAATTGATCTCATATTTTTATGTTTTCCTTTGTTGTTAGCAAATAATAAACGATTATGTAACGTTGAAATTTCCAGTGTGTAAGATAAATAGGTTGTAGTTCGATTTTTTATTTTACATGACTTATCGTTTTTACATTATTTGACTCGGCCTCTTACCCCTGCAGTGCTGTTCCTGTGGCTCTGTATGAGCTCCCCAATCATACGCAGTGAAAGACAATAATGTACACTGAACTGGTATGGTTGTTAAAGGGCTCGGCATGCCTCCTGCCTCTAAAACTATAATGTTCCACTTGCCAACCTCTGATAGCCGATTGGCCAAAGCACTACCACTAGGACTGGCTCCCACTATGATGAAATCATATGTTTCGATCGATTCAGATGAAGAAGTAGGGAACACTGAAATATCTTTTCCATCGTTCTGCCTATATGGGCTCAGATTTTCGGATATAATTGAACTTTTGTTAACTATTCCGGTTATCAGGTCAGCTATAGGACCTAAGTTATCAGGTGTCTTTTCCACGATCAGCGCAAGAAGTAGAACTGATAACGCCTGTAGGAATAATTCCAGCAGCATCTGTAACACCACGTAATGAAAGAAAGCATATTTTGTAAAAATAAATATTCACTCAATTGGACCATCTTACTTTTTCGCCCTGTTCCTTCACCACTAAAAAAAATATTTTGTGATCTATTACATTGAGGGACTGCTCGAAAAACAACAAACTAACTGTATTCTTGCGACAATTGCACGTTGCAAATCGAAAGCATATATTGCATGCACATTGATATAGGAAAAAGTCATAGAACGTGACTCAAACAACAAATGACTATCAAAGACTGTTTACTGTATATTTTTTACATGTATATGGATGATTTCCTCTTGTAATTAAGGCTGAGCAAGTGAGATAATGTATTAGAATCTAATAATGCTACTTTTTACACTTTATTGACTTACTGGAAATTATGTAGCTGAAGAATCATATTAATTAATGAAGTATCCGAATAATAGCCTGGGAAAACTGAACCTACATCTATCTTTCTATGTGTAAGACACACAATAACACATGTTTTAGCATACATTTTCCATCGGTGCGACATAGGTTTTTCTATTGATTAAACCTTGACCAGGTGTCCATATATCGTATATCGAAATTTTTGGCATATAGTAAATGCTATTTTAGAGAATAAATGTTTTCCAACATCTTTTGCATTGATAGAAACAATACAAAATATACAGTTGAAGTTGAGTCATTAATTTTCAGATAATGATTGTAGAAGGAAGATAAACCAAAATATGTGTGTAAAAATTAAAAAAAAAATAAAAAAAATGTTACCTTGTTTTATAAAGTATCCTAACGACAAGTATTTCAGTGCGGACCTGTATTTGGTCGTGCGGTCTTGGAGCACCGGCATGCCCTCCCCTGTGAGGTCTTAAGTCACCTGATTCACGAGCCCTTTGTACTACATTAACAAAGGCACGAGGGGTTGGTTGCACTCGATTGGGAAACCGATCCGCATAAATCCGTGATGCCGCGGCAGCATTTTGTAAAGACTCCCCCCCGTAAATAATGATTCTTATTATTTACGGGGGGGAGTCTTCACAAAATGCTTCATAAGTTCAGCATTTTCGTAAACATGTGCCATTTTTTATTTCGTTTGACCCACGCAACACACACCACTATTCACTCACGCGTTACCGACTGACACATTGACTAAATACAACTGAATAAAGTTGTAGTAAAAACATCGTTTCAAATTCTTTCGCTTTTTTGTTTCCGATGCGATGAGCCGATAAGGCGGATTATATCCGTTGTTGCCAAACACGAGCACATAATATTATTATTGAGACAGGGCGGTACTCAAACTTCTAAAGGGCTATAACTTTGTTACTTTAATTTTACCACAAAAATGTTAAAGGAAAAAAACATTTATTTTGATCAGATCTACTCACTGTTAAAATAAATGGCTCAACTTCGAAGTCACCCTGTATAACAGAGATAATTGGAAGAACACCATATGATTAATTAAAATAACATTAAACTTATTTGGAAATGGAATGTCTGGGTGCAGGGTGGGCTCGAGGTAACATCATAGAAGATGGAATTTGTTTTTCGAACATCTGCGGGATTAACAGAAACATTGATGCTGTTCATCACCACCTGCAATCCAATCGTCCCGCCGTGCTTTTCTTGGCGGAGACAAAAATCTCAGTTTGCACAGATTGACCATCTTAGCTACCCAAATTACCAGGTGCACTTGAATCTGAGAAAGTACGGGAGAGTTGTAGCTTTTGTCCGCAGCAGCCTTTCCTGCTCCAGAGAAATTGTTTTGGAATCAGAGCAGGACATTCTGTGGCTTCGCCTCAACTCCTCAACATCCTTCAAACGTATTTGCTGCCTTTATCGCTCTAGCTCGGATCAAAACTGGGATGACCTACTTGAATACGTCGCCGTCAAGATCGACTTCCTAAACATCAATCACCCCGCTTCATAGGTAGTTCTCCTGGGTGATTTCAATGCCCATACTGAGCTTTGGTTGGGCTCAAACAAGACCGATGCGGCAGGTCGTGCAGTTAAAGCGTTCGCTCTTACTCAAGGGCTGACCCAGCTGGTGACAGGCCCTACTCGTTTTCCCCGCGTCTCGTCACACGTCAGTAGCCTGCTGGATCTCTTTCTGACCACGCATCCTGTCCCTTACAGCACTGCTGTCCTGTCCCCCCTGGGTAACTCACAGCACGATGTTGTGGGGGTTAGGTTTCGGTCAGAACCCGCTGTGGCAGCAGAAACTCGTACAGGCCGCAAAACTTGGCATTACGGACATGCCGACTGGGAGGGGCTCAGAGACTTCTCCTCTAGCTTTCCTTGGAGAGATGTCTGCTTCACTGATGCGGATACGTCGACTGTCTCTTCTTCGATAACAGAAATTATCTACGTTGGAATGGAGGAATACATCCCTCACACAGTGAAAGTGCCTAAACCAGGGTCCAACGGCTGGTTTAACAAATCGTGTGACACTGCTCGCCAGCAGAAGATCAAGGCACACAGAATCTTCTTACAAAACGCCACTGTAGAGAACAGACAAGCCGACGTCGAGTCCAGAAACAAATATAACGAAGCGGCTCGCAATGCCAAAACCAGCATGATATAAGAGTTAGGCACAGGGTAATATCGCAGCGCAATGGCAGTCAGTCTTTCTGGACGCTGGCCAAGCAGATTGAAAAGAACTTCTCACACAGTAGCCTTCCACCACTTACGTGTCAGGACGGAACTATTGTATTCGACTCAAAGGCCTAGGCGGAAGTGCTAGCCAAGATTCTTGCTGCCAACTCCATCATGGACGCCCCCCTCAACGCCCAAGTGCCGTCAATTCAAAGGGTTCCCTACAGTATGCGGGATATAACATTCAGGCATAAGACCGTAAGACGAGTGCTCTTGTCCGGACTTGATTCCTACCATTGTACTGAACCGATGTGCAGCGGAGCTTGCTCCAGCTACTTCGGGTCCCTTCAAGATATCTTATGAATCTGGCACCTTCCCAGAAAACTGGAAATTTGCTCATGTCCAGCACATTCCAAAGAAAGGATGTAAGACCGACCCTTACAACTACAGACCTATAGCTCTGCTTTCTGTTATAAGTAAGGTGATGGAGAGGTGCATAAATCGCGAACTTCTGGACTTTCTCGAAGGTCACAGCTTGTTTAGCGACAGGCAGTATGGTTTCCGGCACTAATGGGACTAAGGGGATCTCCTAGCTTTCGTCACGCAATTGTGAAGTAAACTCATCCAGTCTTATGGTGAGGCTCATGTCGTTGCTCTTGACATCACGAAAGCGTTCGATCAGCTGTGGCACGCTGCTCTCTTAAGCAAACTTTCCATCCTATGGCCTCCCAGAAAAGCTTTGCAGATGGATGGCTGACTTTATCTCTGGCCGCAAGATATCCGTCGTAATTGACGGGTTCTCCTCTTCATCCCACAACGTCAACGCGGGTGATCCCCAGGGATCGGTCTTGGCTCCGACACTGTTTCTCTTACATATCAACGGCCTCCTTTTCTGCACGATCAACCCAATCCACAGCTTCGCTGATGACAGCACTCTACATGCAGGAATTCAGAGTGACAAACCGATCTCTGCCGCTGAGTTGTAAAAAAGAAGACTAGCGATGGCTTCCTCTCTGACAAGAGACCTGGAGACTATCACTGCTTCGGGACGCAACAATCTTGTATAGTTCAATGCTTCCAAATCGCAGTACTGTACTTTGACTATCAAAAAGCGTCCCTGCGCTCACCCGGTTTCGATGGATGGTCGAGTTCTGCCAAAGGGCCATTCATTTCGGCTGGTCGGAGTCCAGATCACCGAGAACCGGATCTGGCACGAACACATCTCGTCAATAGCTGCTGCCGCTGGGACAAAGCTAGGCTACCTGTTTAGGGCTAAGAAGTACTTTTCTCCGCATGACCTTCTCACTCTATACAAGGCAGCAGCGGTGGCCGCAGTAGTAGGCTCTTCGGTCTCCTGATCAGTCGCCGTGCGCTGTACGGGTTCGAGTCCCGTTCCAGGAGAAATTTTTCTCTTGGCTATGGATGTTGTGATTGTCCGTAGGCGGTAGATGGTCTCTGACTGTCGAACGTGGAGGTACCACCCGGCGGATCTCGTAGGCGGAGCCAGAATGTGTGCATGTTGCATGCACACGTGTTCCCTCGCCAGAGTTCGTGTGGCGTCCCCCCTTTCCCCTGTATCCCCCTATAGCCCCACGGTACCCAATGGGTGTTTAGTCCTTAGGCCTTCGTGGTAGTTGGAATATAAAAAAAAGGCCCAGATAAGGCCTAGCCTCGAGTATTGCTCACATGGTTGGGGTGCTGCTGCCCCGACTACATTATCCATGCTCGATGCTGTACACTCTTTTTGTGGTATGGTTAGAACGCACTTAGTCCATTTAAGAAAATGCCTAAAGTCCGTACCGCACAGGTGCTACGTATCTTGGAAAGTGACATTATGTCGATTTCTTCTCAGAGATGAAAACTACAGACTACTCGTCCAATTTTCTGATGCAGATCAGAATACCCCGTAAGCGAGTAACGCCGTTGAAAAATGTTGTTAGCTCTGTGGTGAAATGGGTTTGCAGAAGCCCAGAAGCAAATCGTAAGCCCAGTTGTGATGCGGGTTTACTTCCAATTTTGACTACTTAGAACCAGAAACAGATGGAACCATGTTTTTTTGTTACTCCTTTGTGATATGAACCTAAACTGTTACTAGAACTACAAAAAACTAATAAGGGTTCCCAAAGCGAAATAATAATAACACTCCTTATTCAGCGAGTCATAGATATTTTAGCCAGATGGAAAATATTTTAATTAGGTTTGAACGTGTACCAGGTTCTACCTCACTGTTTCGTTTGGATGTAGACAAATTCCTTACAAGTATATTATTCTTACTGCTTTTATCTAAGAATCCGTCCTCAACACCGGCGAGCATCTATACAAGGAGGTGTTGTAGACCCAATGTTGTAGGCTCAATGTTGTAGAAACCTTTGCTCAAAACAGCAATAAAGATCTTGGATTGGAATGGTTTCGAAAAGTAATTTTTTTAGAGAGTACGCTTTCACAACATCTTTCACGATTTATCGGTCAAACTGCTAGCAAAAATATGTTTTTGGCATCGCAGAGATCCCGCTTATTATTTTCCGCGTATAGCTCGATATTTTAGTTGGCTCAAACGGTTGCCAAGTTAAGGAGCAAAACAATCCCTGCAAATTTAATGTAATGCTAAAGTTTTCCAAATAGATTCGGGCTAGCTTACGGGCATCGCATGAGCAAGCAAGAATGGTCGTT